TGATGTGGTTCTGAAGAGCTCTTCCTATTGACATCTTGTTTGCTGACCGAGGAGTCACCATTTTGGCAGTTTGTGTATTTTCTCTCCCCTCCTTTGAGTTCAAGCTCATGTTTACCTAATCTTGCCATTTATAAGTATTCTAGGTTTGCCATTGTGTGACAAAATTAATCTGTTTTTCTGTGTAAGAGGGCAATTTCTCGAGATGTGCAAGTGCTGTGAATGAGGAAGGAGACAAGGGGGGGATGTGAATGAATACAAGATTCATGTCGCTTTGAGATATTTCACTCTAATATTAAAAGAGGGCAGAGCTCCTCAGAGTGTAAATAATGACTTACCATTGAGGGCTAACCCAAAGAGAGAGAGTGTAGGGTTATGACGATGCATAATACCTGCAAATGCACAGGGCCATTAAAATACCTTATTCCAGCTGCTGTTAGAATACACACTGCCCACAGAAGACACTCCCAGCCACAGTATATTGTTATTCAGTGCCATATTGCTGTGAGTTAAGCCGCGCTTATGAGGATGCTGAAAGCATGAGTATAAAATGCATAAACATAAAGTGTTCACAGAAAGAACCCAGACATCCGATGTGGATGTGACTGAACACGCGTGGTAACTTCACGTTGCATCTCATTGAGCATTAAGGCATTTGCAAAACTCTGCAAAGCACATGGATAATGAGGTAAGATCGTAGATTATAGAGAATTGTAGCTCTGTGGCAGTTACGCCGGTGTTCTAAAGCAGTCTTGTGGGACGTGATGGCTGGTAACGTACCATACGGCCAGTTAACTTGTGACTATTTGTGAGGGAATAAATACTGCTCCTCAGGCTGTGCTTTAGCATGCCGTTTGGTCACACGGCTCCTCATTAAATGGCATAATCACGTGTAGTTCATGGGTTTTATCTGCCTGCAAGGATGGGGCTTGCAACATACTGCGTGACAATATTGTGAGAGGGTTTCGGATGATTGGAAGGTGAACTTGGTGCACTTTGCCTTCCTTGGCCTGGATTATCCTGCTGGAAAAAAAAGCTCACCTTTTGGTTAAAGGAATACTACAAAATGACCACTTAGACATCAATTACTCACCGTGTGTCTTGAACTCTTGAAGAGGTGAATTGAAGTTAATGGGGGCCGCGTTTAACTAAAGTAAAACTATATTAAAAACATCTGTTTACAAACTCTCACATAATTTGTGGACTATAATCCAAGTCTCATTTTTCTAGTGTTACGCTCACTACTTCCCAAACACATGCATCTTCACTAAAACCCTATTAACTATTTAAACTATTTAAAACACTTCTGCATAAACAGTCATGCTTGCGCAGGTGCACTACATGTCCATGCGTGTCAGGAATAGTAGGGCGCCTGCGAAGTGTTTGAAATAGTAAGGTTTTAGTGAAGATGCATGTGTTTGGGAAGTATTGAGCACGACGTTCAATGAGACTTGCATTATACTGCACGAGTTGTGTGAGGGTATTTAAACGGATGGTTTGATTATATTATATTATTATATTAACCGAACAATACGTTTGAATAATACTAGTGCATTTGGAAAAAGCAGAAGTTTAAATTGTGGGAAATATAATGTTTTCGGTGGACTTCGCTCAAACTGGCAACCCACCACGTAAGAGACACTCTGACCCCGGAAACAAAACATTGTAATCTGGTGAGGCACGTGTGTTCTGGGAGGCTACACTAAATTAGCTTAACAGGAAAACAACAGCAGCAAACAAGCTACAAACTCTCCCCGCAGCGTTTAGCTGTTCCCTACTGATTCAAACAGGGCTGAAGCAATCGCCACACAATCCCCATTTCTCCAGACCATCGTTCTTGCTTTGTATAAGAAAAGAAAACCCCAAACAGAGAACCAAATGTCCGACCCTAACCCCGCGATGACGGGATGCTTCGTCATTAACGGACAATGCATATAGTCAAAATCAATGTAATTAACACAATGACAAGAACAAACACACAAGAACCAGTCACATATATTTATATGACAACAAAGCATGACAAATCAATCCAGCAAACCTGCGGTGCTAAAACACGCATTCCACCGCACACTGAAGAGCACGAGCCATTCAAATATTATTCATATCAGAGGGAACAATATTAACCATATCATAAAAATGACACCATAGACAAATGAACACAGTAGTAACGCTACTGCAGATGTAAAAACAAAGCAGTTCACTTACCAAAGCTGCTCTTCACTTAAAGACAAAGTCCATCCTCCTTTCTTTGTTAATAAAGAGTTTAATGACGCGGTTGTACAGAACATCGGTGCGGTTCAGTTCCAGCCAGAGGTCCTCCTGCGAACATGTTCGTTGAGTTGTAGATCCACTCGGGTCTCCAAATGTTTTCAAAAGCACCGTAGCTTGTAAGTGTCCTGCCGTCCTATGGTGTCGTGTTGCTGCCTTGGTTAGCCAACTCAGGTTAGCATAGCTCCAAACAGCTCCAAGCACCAAGACGCTCAGTTGCAAATGAAACGCATTCTTAGCCATAAAATCTGCAACGCTTCTCCAACGCTGTCAGCCAGGAATACCGTTCGTACAAATCCTTTTCCTGGCTGGGTCAGGGCTGCTAGCTGTGGGGTTGACCGACCCTTTCTTACGATGTCCAGCTTTTCTGGAAATGTCCTTCTTGTGAAATCCGTTTCTCCTCCTTCAGCTATTAAGTGTTAAAAAAACAAAGCTAGGTAAAAAAAAAAAGAATCTACACCAAGCATAACGCTAAAAATGTCATGTCAATGTCATAACTTCTTACATATCTTTCAACTTGAACTCTTACTACTAATACTAACTTCCGATAGCTGCTTCAGCGTCACAACAGTCATACTAGCCCACTGACCAATCACGCCACATGTTAATGCTGAGCTGCACGTTAATGCTGACGTACTTGTAGACTACCTCGGTAGCTCTGGCATGTCAAAGAATACGCCCAACATGTCAAACTAAAGATCTGATTGGTTGAACACTGTGACAATCAACAATATCGTCCCCATTTACTTTAATCTGCAAAGTCTACCTAGAGGACCTCGGGCCTCTCTCTTTACATAGAGACATAGGGGCTGAATCTGATTGGATAAAAGCTCTACTTAAAACAAGCTGCACTGGAAGCAGAGCAACAGAGGAAGACAGGAGCTGTGCAATGAGAAAATAAGTTAATGGGAAAAATAATTAGAATACTTGTAGTGTATTTATGAAAAATTATTAAATTATAAAATAGCTATAATTTTGTGATTCTGTTTAGGCCAGCAGAGAAGGCTTAGCTGGCCCTGACGGCCCACCACTGCTAGTCATACAGTATATCACATGTCATTTGCAGTTTTAGCTTCAGTGTATTTTCCTTGAAGTGAATCTTGGCGTTTCCACTGGAATTGGTGATGCATCGTTTTGGATTTCTGTCACGATAATGAGCTCAGCAGAGGGTAGGCCTACTTCAAATAGGATATGTTCAAATGAGCTGACTCATTAATTGAAAAAAAAAGGGGGAAAAAATATTTTTCTTTTCAGATATTTCATTTGGCTTGTCATTACTTGGTATAATAGAACTCCCATTTTCTGCTGGCCTTGTTATTATGTCTTCTCCTCAGTTTCTGATGAAGGAAAGGAAAGGATAGGAGGAAAAACAGGACATTAAAGATTCCTTCATTCCAGTTGGAAATAATGTAGTGCTTCCCAGCTGCTGCTGTCTGTATTGTTCATAATATCCATTTTGTGTTCTGTACTAAACCATCACTCATGTAGCAAATGTTTTTTTCACATTCTCAGGAGACTGCTTACAACCTGTGTGGGTTTTTGCTTTGTGATTTAAACCAGGGTTATGTTACCTGCACCATTATTCAACAGCAGTGTACCAGAACGCAATCCATAATACATTCTACTGTATACACACGTTCATTTGCTGATATCTACATAGCTCTGGGCATGAATATTTCGTTCTGCAATAGACTTCAGCAATAAACTGTGTGCTACATCTAGTACCACATCAGAGGAAGTCTCAAACAGTGTGTAAGATAATGGCTGTTTCTCATTATTGGAAGTTGATCCGATGTTAATGTGAGTTTTAATCCGTTGATCGTACTAATTTCCCTTTGAAGGCAAAAATGTGTAATGCCTGGCCACATATTCCAAACATATAGGGGGCAGCATTTGACCTCTAATCTAAATTTATGGCTTATAAAAAAAAATTAAAAGGGCCGCAGAGGGCCCCATGTTTTAGACACTGCCCATTTCTTAATATATATATATTTATACGTATATATATATTGTTCGGTTGTATGGTTCGCGGCTTCAAATTGCACCAATTGTGACACTGCACACCCTCGGGTCTCGTCAACGGTGAAGTAGTTTGGACGAACGGTTCTCGGGGTATGCCAACACAAACAAACACACACTCGAACATACAGAGATTTCTTGCATTATAGAATTAGAGAAGAAATGTTCTTTGAAGACTTATACGTAAGCAGTATATTTGACATTTGCTCACAGTAGTGACAATCATTATATACTCAATTATGGATTTTTGTGCAAATGTTTAATATACATATATTTGTGCCCACAAAATAAACTGATCAGTGTTTCAGTGTCCTAGCTCATCTAATCAAAGCTTTTCTTTAAATGCAATCATACCATCATTGGACATAATGCTTCCTTTTTGTCTGTATGAAAGAACCAAATAATCTCCTCTGATTTCACCTGATGTAGGTCGGAGGACCAAAATGTTAATAAAGTGTGTACAAGTGATTGACAGTGTGCAGAATGTTCTGTTTCTTTCATAGTCGGTTAATGATACAACACATAAGACTCTTTAGAGTGCAAGTTTGTAGCGAGTGTTTGAAGTTTATGTTATAACGCAACTCTTTTTTTGTGCTCCATTTTGGTCTCAGCAGTTATGTAGAGGAATACTGAATGTGCTATGTTCTAGCTGAGAGGACCATCAGGAAGATAGATACTCTGTCTTCATGAGGAACCTTCTCTGTGCTTCATTGCAGGAAGTGATGTCGGTGGAGGAGGAGTGCACTTCCTGTTACTGCCTCATGGACTCGACGAGCTGCCACCTGCTTCTGGACCAGCCGGGCTCGTACGCCCTGGTGGGCGAGCCCCTGACGCAGGCTGCCGTCAAGAGGCTGAAGCTGGCTGTGTTCGGGAGCATGGAGGCCGGCTCCATGAGATACAGCCTGCGGGTGTACTGTGTGGACGACACGCCACACGCCTTTCAGGTGGGGGAAGACGCCGGTTAGGTGTTCAACTCCTTGTTTTTTCCCTTTGGTTCCTCCAACGAGGGGGATGTCCAGCATAACTTGAGAAAGGGTTTTCCACAGTCTCATTTGTTCATGAAGACAATGTTGCCAGTAATAATGGCTTAAGTAGTTCCTTGAGCCAAAATGTTAGGTTATAACCAGCCCAGAGTCACAGCAGTTTGTGAAATAGTCACAAAATGGTAGTGAACAGTTTTCCGAACACTCATTTTGTGGTGTTGTTGCCTAAACCTAACTGTTGGTTTTGTTGCCAAAATCGAACTGTACTTAGTTATTGTAAGGCCAACCATGATGTTTTCCCTTAACCGAACTTTTGTTTTTGACGTAATGTCGTTCCGAAAACAAAGTCGTGTAGAGGAACACAACAAAAAGACGATTCGTTACCCTGTACACTTAACCTGTAGATACCATTTCGTGACTATTTCACAAACTGCTGTGCGACTGTGTTGTATAAACTCATAATACATACATTCCACGAAGCCGGCCATGTTGCACAAGTTTATTCACAATTATGTTCTTGTATTATTTAATACGTCAATCAAATGTGTAATCTCACCGATGTCACAAACCCACAGAGAATCATCACCGGACTCTTCAATTCCCCTCAGCTCTATACGCAACATTTGAGCTACTTTAAGCTCAGTGTTTTAGTTTTATAGCAGGCAACTTTACTTTTTTGGTTCATTCTCATGGCTCTCATGAGCCTTATGTATGCTGCTTCCAGCTCTGTTAAACTCTGTACAGCCAGCACCAACGAGCACACAGGCAAAGTTAGTGACTAACTAAGGGAACATAGCGCAGCATTTAGCAACTAAAGCCAGATATTTCACTCAGGAGCTGGTGTAGGATGAAAATAATACCTAAAAGAGAGTTCGTATTGGACCAACATCAGGTGGCCAGAAACTAGAGTCCAAATGAGTGCTAATGCTGCTTTGCGTCTGCTGGATGTGTAAATAGGCAAATGTTTTCTAACACGTTCTGTACTTCAACTTTATACGGTGATAATATGTCAGTGTTTGCAGCTTCTTGTCCCGCCCCCCAATTGGCCAAAAAATGACAGCATGCATTGCACTGAGATGACAGAGAAACATGCTTTCTTACGTTTTATTTGAAGTTATCTGTCCCTTAAATGTAATGTTGAGTGAAATTTGGTTTGTGGTACTCAAAGCACTCACAAAAAAAGACATTTGGAAAGTTTAACATTTCATAACACTTCCTGGTTAGTCTGGATTATCTACAATGCACACCGTTATACAGAGTGAACAGGACATTATTTCTCAAAAGACATTTTGCTTTTGAATGTCATTTTTTCTAGCTGTGAGCTCCACAAATTAGGTTCCATTCATCTCCATTGTATTTGGGTGGAGACAGAAATCTCAGAGGCAAATATCTCAGAGAGAGAAAGAGAAAGCATTTCTTACTCATTTCCCCCTTTCTGTAAGGATGCACATTTTCACTTTAGCCCTTTTTCTACTGCAATAGGAATAACGCATTGTAGGTCATGGCCTGGATTCAAACTGAACATCTTGTGTGTATGCGATTTTAGCCTGTGCTGTCTGAAGCAGCCGAGACCTCAGCGTGTGCTCTCCACCGATTAAACCATGTGAGTGATTACAGATTCATTACCACTGTGAAACACTAGTGCAGAGCTGATTGTGGGGTCTCTGTCACAGCCTGACAGACTCTCTTCCAGACGTTTTAATAGACTGAGACAAAGGCTGCCGTACTGTAATCACTGCCATTCAAATGTTAACCAAAGGTTGTTGTTTTTTTACTTGATTATTCTTCAGCGACCTGTAGGTATTTAAAAGCATTGAGATCTCATAAGTGAACACCAAGCCTCCCGTCCTCCCCGGAGAGACTAGACTAACAGAAATCTGAGCCGAGTTGAACAGAGCACGGCGAGCCTCATGACTGACTCTACCTTCCCGACCGCCTCTCTGCCATGTCGCAGCCGTTAGCGACAGCTGGCTTTAAAATGCATTCTGGATTTGGTTTATAAATTTCCAGCCTGCCGAGCAGATGCCAGACTTTTGCGGGTCCCTTGGGCTCCTGTCTGTTAGCGCCGCTTCTCTGCTGTGTGTTTTCCTAGCTCGGGCAAAATCGCAGCCTGGGTTCTGGATCAACAGGAAGCCTGATTCAACTCAAACATTTGTGTGAGCGAGACATTTTCTTCAGCTGAGACCAAGGAAGGGTTACGGCTGGCAGCTTTCGAATATGCTCTCTGATATTGCACAATGCTTTTAAAAGAGTACCTCCCCAACAAGTACAATTTTCTGGATAATTAAATCAAAATTGATGCCCTTTTTGTTATATTTCATCAATTAATTAACAGAAAGATTCGGGTGAAGTAAGGATCCTAAAACAACACCTTTTGATTTAGTGTGATTTTTTTTTTTGTGTGTGTCCGCTGTAACAAGAATTTCAGGAAAGGTCTTGCTGCTTAGGAATGGGCCGAAATAATTCCTCCCCGCAAGTCAATTTCCAAGGTCACAGCATTCAATACTGGAGACGATAAAAGCTTCCTGCCTGAAAATACCACCCATATTAGTATTCGGCTGGCAGACGTTATCTTCCACTTCAAATCCTGCCAGAAAGTACTGTTCACGTCAACCTTTAGCTTTTAGCCTTGGCAAAGGATAATTTCTAAGTCCTGAATTCTAACATCATCAACAACAACAACAAAAAGGATTTTAAAATGATGAACACAATGGTCTTCACATTTTGTGTTTCCACTATTCTATTGGTTGGATATCTCATTTTTGACATTCCAACATTCAGTTAGCTGTAAAACATCATGTGCCATGTGTCCACCAGCAGATAAGGAACGGTTTCCAGAAAACTCAAAAACTGGCAGCATGCAGCCTAGTCTCCTAAAATTTACATTTCCATAAATCAAAACTGCATTGTCAACTTTTCGAGGGAAGCGTATTCTCTCACGGATTATGTTTTTTTTTTATGTACCACAAATACCTTTCTTATCAAACTCCACGGAAGGACGAGGTTGGGTAGATGGATGGAGTGGTCAAACAAATACTTTCACCCAGCAGACCACCATTCATGTCCCATGTGAAACAAAAAGATAATTATGACTTATTTTAACATTGTGTTAAACATTTAAAAAATAACCTAACAAATATACATATTTTAAGCAAAACCCTGGTTTACTAAACATAACCAAGTAGGTTTTTTGCTTAAATACAACCTTGTTTTGTTGCTAATTGTTGTAAAATATAGCTATATGCTACATGGGAAAATTAGAATAAAAACGACTGGAAAGTACACTCCACCTGCGCCAGGACACAGTCTGAGAGTTGCAATGTGATAGTTTCTGACACATTTTTCTCTACTGTAAATTCCCATTTTAAAGTTTTCTTTTATGCTATTTTAAATATTCATCAACATGGAGGCTCCTAGATGATACTGTAGATCCACATGTCTGTTTTGGCCGTTAGTTGTAATTTCTCTGAGTGTGTTTCACGTCAGTTTGCCGTGACAGATGGCTCTGAATACTACGATACCCTTGTGGCTCAGCACACAGCCATTGCAATTAAATGTACAGACTAAACTGGGTTGTGGGTGGAAGTAAACACAATGCCATTACTGCAGTGGCATCATTTCCCTTTTAAACTGCTTTTTAACAGCTCTTGCTTATAAATATGTCCAGAATGACCTGTAACATAGTCATCAAAATGCCATTAAAGTGAATCTAGTTATTTAAAAAAACACAGAAATTTACAGAATGGATCGCAGCCACTGAAAGCACCACGAATTTCGCATCACTTGCAACCGCTATGTGCCCCGTCTCAAGGTCCGATTAACAAAAGATATTGTGCTGATTACATACAGGCCCATAAAGTTTTGCACATTTTTGCATCTGATTGCAATTATCCATGTGGGAAATTAGAGATGTTGCCTTTGCACCAAGAACACAGTAGGCAGAACAATTGCAGAGAGAAAAAGAATAATGGAATGTTCGGTCCGCAAGCTTCGACTAACGAGGTGTAGAGGCATTCATTAAAACTTCAGTTCAGGGATTTAAAAGTGACAGATAAAAAGCATATTTGGGATTTAATATGCCATGATCACTGGAAAGTCTGCGTGTGACACCTCTTACAGATACGCTTCAGTTACCACCAACTCTGTGAAGATGCTAGTAGTTTTACTGTAACTGTGTGTGGCTATTGATCTTTTGATCTAATTTAAATACTTTCAAATAGCACTTTTCGGATTTTTTGACAATCACACAGCTCCTGAACGCTTTCAACCAAATGTAGACAGCTTTCAGACAGACTTTCATGCCCATTCATGTACACAAAAGTACTCCAACCTGTGTTGCCAATTGTTCAATGGAAAGTAGCTAAAGCCGTATAAAATATTGCGCTGTAATTCTTTGATGCCCTACAAAATCATTTTGTCTGTTATCCATGTCATCATGAACGGGGAATTATAAAGACCGTAAAAGCAGACACAGGGCTGTTTTTTACTGTGTGAAACAAGAAGTCAACGTTGATTTATTTCTCACGTAACTTGCGTATTCCAGTAACAAACAATGGGAATTGGTTGACAGCTCATTCCTCCCCCACTCAGTGAACATAGTCAGTCCAGAGAGACACAGCCACGAGAGTATTATAGAAATATCAGCAACTTGCTTCAAGAGAGGAGGTCTGCAGAAAAAGTTGCTAGATGTGTCGCTAAAGGGCTCTTAAAAGTCCCCGTAACTGGCGAGAAAGTTGCTGAGGTGGCAGTCACCTAACATTGTCTATGCAGAAAATTAATATAACTTTTACTTTTGGACTCCCAAAATGACTCCTAACAACTGGATTTCTCATTCTTGGCTGACATTGCAACACTCCCTTAGCTGTAAAACATCAATCGTGTCTGTGGTGTGTCACACAGCAGATCAGCAACAATCACAATCTCCACAATACTTCAGTCATGGCATCTTGACTGCTTGAAA